AGCTTTCTAGCCAGTAATTATGACGCACTGGACACTAAAATACACTCATTATTTCCTGACTGCCAAGTAACAACGATCGGCTCTCTGAGATCATTCATTTTGTAGTGGACACGTATGGATATCTGGACCTAAATATGTGTTTAACATTCTTTTTCAGATTAGAAGTTTCATTATTCTTACTTTGCTTTCAGTAGATAGATACAGTAGTTTGTTTTGTGACAGACCTGTGTGCCCAACACATAACATATTTAACATGTACTGACTGCAGGTAGGTGACATTGCATCACGTGACTGTGACCTTTGATGACAGTTTTAGCCAACAAAGTTATTGTTGATAGTTTTAGGAGTGTATGGTGACATGTATGAAAGTATTTCTTTAGGTAAAGGGGTAAGAGTTAGTGCAGTGGTCTCTAACATAGGGCTGGGCATTATGAAGAAAATCTAATATAATGATATATATTGGCTTTAATCACAATACACGATAAAAATCACGATATGTTTAAATTACATTCAAAACCAATAGGGTGCATATAATATAATCATATATCAGGGTCAGTATTAGACCTTTAACAAGATCCCAACAACCAAACAGGAATCAAAGAAGAAACTACTAAATAAATACTAAATAAAATGTGTTTATTTTTAAAGGCTTTTTTGCATAATTAAAAAAATGCAGATACAGCTGATTTGTTTTTCATTTTAATTGGTGTGTGGGGAGATGCTGGCATGCAGAGTTTATAGCGTTTTTTTGCTGGACTGCTCTGCGCATGTCTGATGATGACGTCAGAAAAGCAGTTTAACAAAGAAAATGTAAGAAGCATCAAAACTGTCTCAGAAGGGCGTGCAGGTGGCGCAGTGGTTAGTGCACATGATCCATATAGGGAGGCCTTAGTCCTCGACTAGTAACGTTAGCAAAGTATCTTTAAGCTAATCACTTTTCTTTAAAAGAGTTAAAAATTAGTTAAGTAAACTCGTGATTTTAACACAATCATATATATGTTCTAACAGCAGTGGTAATATGCTCTAAAATGTTTAATAGGATTATTATAAAAACCTAATATTAGCTTCACTGTTTATACTGAGAAAAGTGAGCCCTGAATGAAATCTGTTTTTATAGTTGAAGATAAAAACTTACATTTATAATTTGTATCTTCTGTTAGGCAATTTTCCTTTTGTGTTTTTATAAACTAGTCAGTTGATAACACAGATGGCTGTTTGATAAGAAGCCAGAATTCAGGTCTTAAATTGCAACAAAAAAAAACATACTTTCTCAAGAGGTGGGGTTTCCCGAACATTCTGACTTCATAAAAGATGTTGACAGTAAACATATGAGAGCAGTCAAAAGATGAGTCAGTTTTTCAAGAGTGCGAAGGGATTAGGTTAAGTCTAAAGAGCTTGACAAACAGGGAGGCAACGTCTGGCCCTCTCTAGTCATTCTGTATTGAACTTGTGCAGGGCAGCAAATCCAGATATTACTCAAACCACTCTTCTCTACACATTTGCAGATCTCACACGTCAGAACTGTAGCAAAAATCACGTGTATAGCCAACCGAGAAAATGCTTGACTTGTAACTGATGATTTGTCTATATTTCTGGGTCTTGAAGCGAAAACACTTCAGACATAAGTGTCTCTGTGTGTGCTTAAAGATTGATCCACACATTTACAAATCTTAGTAAACATTTGTAGATCTGAATACAGATTTGTTGGTAGGGTTAGGTTGGGGTTTTGAGGACCCAAATGCAGAGGTGAGGCCACAGAGGTGAGTTCTTGTACATTTAATCAAATAACTGAGGCAAAAACCAAAGTAGACAATACATGGAACCAGAAAACCAGACAAATTCATGGGAAAACTCATGTGGGGAGCCAGGAAAAGACAAAGCCTACGTTCACACTGCAGGCCTTGATGCTCAATTCCGATTTTTTTGTGAAATCCGATTTTCTTTTTGCATTGCCGTTCACATTTCCAAATACATGCGACTTCTATGTGATCTCCTATGTGAACTGCAGTCATACAACGCAAGTGTCCCACATGCGCAAGAGAGGACACGATGACGTCACAGACCAGCGTGCTCCATGTTTACGGAAATGTAGTGCTGGCACACGTCTTTTCCAACCATAAAAACTCATTCTTTTCAATATGTTTACACATAAATACTGCTCTACGCATCATCATCTGCAATGGTTGTTGTTTTTCTTGCCGCTTTTGCGTAGCAAGACGCATAATAGTGACCTTTGTCGGGTATTAATGACATTGAGGTCAGATGAATCCAACCTGGACGTTCACACACAGGTCGCATTTGAAAAGATCAGATTTTGTATCAGATTCAGGACCACATAGCCAAGTGGCCTGGGTCAGATTGGAAAAAATCGGATCTGTGTTGTTCAGACTGCCATGAAAAGATCGGATCCAGGTCGCATATGTGCCAAAAAAAATCGGATTTGGGTCACTTCAGGCTGCAGCGTGAACGTAGCCAAAGAACAAGCACTTAGGAATTGCACAGGGAGAGTGTATATGGGAGACTGAACAAAGACAGGACTAATGAGCTGATTGGGAGCAGGTGTGAACAGAGGATGCTAGAAGGAGCTAGGAAAAAGGAGACCAACACAAGAGGACAACCAAGAAAAACCTAAAAACTCAAATATATCCAGAAAACAACACAAAATAGGAATTAAACCAATAAAACAAAGAAAAACATGGATCAAAGTGAAACTGAAAACTCAAAAGAAAACTTAAACCTAACCAAGACCATGACATTTGAGGATTTTTTTACACATTTGCAAACCGGATTGCACACACAAGACGTTTAACACATTTGCAGATTGTTGTACAGATACACAAATCTCCCGACGCATTTCCAGATTTATTTACACATTTTGAAATCCCACTGCACACACACAAAGCGAGATACAGACACACAACTCTCCACACACATTTGCAAATCATTTTGAATCAATATTGCTCCCATAGCTTCAATGCTTCACCCAAGCAACCTGCAAAAGTCATGCATATGGGCTTGTGACGCAACACAGGAAAGTTGGAAGATGTTGTTGTTGCATTGGCACTAGGGAGGTTTATATTGACTAACCAAAAGGAGAAGAGCATGCTACACAATCACTTTCAACATCAAGAAACCATTAACCTTTGTCTCCTATATTATATCATTAATTGATCTTCAGTAAAATCTTCTTTCATTCTTGATCCCTGGTTAGTGATGAACTGCTTTGAAAATCTAAAAATCCCTCCAATTTCATAATTATAACAATTCAATTCAAATTTCATGAAGACAAATGTTCCAAGCCATTGCCATTGCACCTTTCTGTTGGCCTTTTCCCATCTGTAGCTGTCATTTACAGTCCCTTTTATGTTGAGCTCACTACACAACACACCTACTTTAAGTTAAGCCCATGGCTAGTCTGACGATCTAGTTCATAGCATTCCATCCAGCTTATTCCTTGGACAATATAGTTTTATCTTGACTTCCATATAGGTATAGTATGTTCATACCTTTGCGGATAACATATAGTTATTGGTGTATGACTGGCCTTCCTGCCTTTTGTCTCTGACTTCTAACAAATAACATCTTAAAATCAACCAGGTTGTTGTTTCCTTTCACTCAGCAGCCAAGACACAGAAATATTACATACCCCTTTGCGATTTGACTCACACATCAGACACTTTACCTTAGCTCAAACATAAATGCCACTATTGGATGTAGGATACCCAATTAAAGCTGTAAACTTACTTACATCTAGAGCTCTGCAACAGGCCTCACAAAGACAGGCTTTAGAACAGATTTAGTATATTGTAGAAAATATGATCTAAGCCAACAACAACACCACACACACATATTAACTGATGCATTTACCTTCAGCTCACGTGCACTGTAATCTAACAACATCTTAATCAGGGAAAACAACAATGACTCTGTGGGAGGTTTTAAGATTGGATTTGGAGAACATGATAGAGCTACAGCTCTTCACATCATTACACATCTTGTTCCAATGACGAGGCTGATTGCCTGAAAAACAACAAAAACAGCAAAAAATATCTTAGAGGAGAAGGGGCTGGACCATTTACGATGTTGAATAAGATTCATTTGAAAACAGTCTTAAATTGTAATGACAGACATTTCTTAAATCTCAGATGCATTTTTATCCTGCAATCTTTTTTTTGTTTTTGTCTTTTAAGACTCAACAAGCCTTGATAAGAATCACAGCAGGCCTAAAAAATTTTTTTTTTTAACCTTTTCTTTAATATTTCCAACATATTTGATAAAAGTTCACATTTGGATCATTTGCCATGTCCTTTTAAGAGAAAACCATTGTACTTTGATTTCATTTTATTTGCATTACAAAAAATAATACGTCTAATGAAGCTAATGAAAGGGTTCTTTAGCAGTCTGGCTAGCTTTGCTGCAGTTTTAGCTGATTTAACGCCAACCTGTTTACCATTGTTATCAATAGAGTGGAAGATTTTTGATATAAAGACTTAATAATAAAAGTCCTCATAATAATCCTTGTGGAAAACAAGATCTCATTTCATTCGTTTTTGTTTGGTTTTTTTTTTTATTAAGGGTTTCCTTGTGCCTAGATTACTGCCATGCTTTCTTTATTTTGTTTTGACTAATTAAGAGTTTGACTCCTCCAAGGGATTAAGAATGGAGCAGCTGGATGTTTTACTAAATCCAGAAAACAAACTAATAACACTGGTTTTACACTGTCCCTTCAGTGGATAGATTCCATAGTTCATTTTGAAGTATTTGTGTTCAACTGCAGTGGTCTGAACGGTCAGCCGCCACATTATCTGACCATATCGGACAAGAAACCTGTGTTTTTTCCTCTTATAAGATGGAAACACAAGCCTTTCATAATGTTTGGCTACAGAACTTCAATTTGATAACTAATAAAATAGGAAAAAAAAAATTGTCAGAAGCAATAATGTGATTTTCCTTTGCTTTATTCTGTTCGTCTTATTAACCTTAAACCTTTACTGTGTTAGGTGGTTTATTGGTGACTGGTCAGAGTGTGGAAAGACGTGTGACGGTGGGACACGGACCAGGACTGTCCTGTGTATCAGGAAGATTGGCCCTGCTGAGGAGGAGACCCTGGAGGACACCTTCTGCCTTACGCATCGGCCTATTGAAAGAGAGTCTTGCAATAATCAGTCCTGTCCCCCAAAGTGGGTAACTCTGGAATGGTCAGAGGTGAGGTGATGCTTTCTGTTTCCTTTAGCTACTCCTGCTGTTGAAATCTTTATATTTCAGCTTTCTCTTCTTTGGATTTAGTGTATACCTAAGTGTGGCCCAGGCTTCAAGCATCGCATCGCCTTGTGCAAGAGCAGCGATCTGACCAAAACCTTCCCGCCGACCCATTGCCCGAGCCACAACAAACCTCCGGTCCGAATGCGCTGCAGCTTAGGGCGATGTCCTCCTCCCCGCTGGATCCCTGGTGACTGGGGACAGGTATGACTGGAACCCAATACACAAATACTCATACCCTTTAACTTTTTCACATTTCAAACAAAGCTGTGGGTCAGTTGTCGACCCCTTTTGCCAGATTTGGTCAACAAACTGACAAGCTCTGCTAGGGGAGGAGCAGTGGTCCACTGCCCAGTTGGCAGAAACTGATGACAAAACAGTTTTCAGTTTTTAAACCTTTACATCTGGCCTTTAGCTTCATTGACAGAAAACTAAAAGCAGCCAAGCATCATGGAGATGTTCAGAGATGCTCTCCATCCAGTCTGAGTTAGCTCACAAAGAATTGGAAAATCTTAAAAAAGCTGGCACCGCGTACCTCAAAGGTCAAAGGCAATTCCACATTCTAATTACTCAGGGGACTTCATGGAAAATTAGACACCTTTTATATTTTTACTTTATAACACACTTGGCATAAAAGAGTAGTTTTTGGATTATTTTCTGGGCTGCACTGTAGAGTAGCTGTGAGCAATGGTGCCTCCTGTCCTGGGTTCTTCATGAGGGTTGCATGTTTTTAAACTGCAGGGATCTGCTTTGTACAGGTAGTCTGGCTTCATTCCTCAGTTCGGACAATATGGCTGATTCAGAATTGGCTGCTATTCCTATTTCCTCTTTCTACACTTTATGTGGGTTCAACATTAAGAACACTTTTGTGGGTAGGGAAGATGCTCCAGACTGCTATACCAAAACCCGTCTTTGGCCGTACCTATATCATTACTTTACAGAAACGCACATAAATTATGTTTGTTAAAACCAAGAGCCTATAGCCTTTCAGAAAAGAACTAGAAGAAATCAAGAATGTTGTGATGTACCTGTGCTAAATGAGCTATCAATAACTTCATACCACCTTCCATACTGCCAACACCATTTAGATAGTACTTTTAATTGCGACCGCTAATGAACTTCGGCTTAGAGTCAAGTTTCCTTACCAATCTTCCCAGTTCGGATTGAGCCTATGTTTTGTTTCAATTGGTCTAAACCAGGCATGACTCGTTGAATCAATGTTCGCCATGATAACTGCTGTATGAACAGTGCTGGCAATAAGGAAGGAGGTAGGAAAAGGAGCCTCTATGTTTCCTTTCCTAGTCCCTTAGGCACGGGAAGCTTGCAATGTCCCTTCCTGGTGAGAAGGAGTCCTTTGTCTGACATTACCTCAAAACCACTGACTACCTTATGAAGTTTTTCCAAAAAAATCTTTCAACAGATAATAGAAATTTTTACTTCATATATTTTCGTTTTAATTTCTCTTTTTTCAGATTAAGTTTTATTCTTTTCAAATTACGTTTCACAGATCAGATTCTCTTTCTTTAATCCCAATTCAAATGCTCCCTATTGTTTCACAAATTGTCCAATACAATATTGTTGCTTACGTCCAGCAGACCAATAGAAATGTGTCTTCTCTCCTCACTCCAGAGGAAAGCCCGCCCCCAAAAGTGAATCTGAAAAAAATGCAATTTGTAAAACTCAATCCAAGAAACAGAAATTTGAACAAAATAAAAAAAGTATACATTTGTTTCATTTCTGGATTGCACTTTCTTTGCAAATGTTCATTTTCAAAATGTGATTCTTTCTTGCAAAAATAATGGAACCAAGTTCACTCCATACATGCCCAGGTTATAAAGTGCACTACTTGCGTTGGTTGTATAAAATCTCAAGGAGAAAAAGCATATAAAGTATGGGGTAAAAATATTTTTGCAAGGCAATGTTACTTCAGTGAGAAACTCTAAAGTATAAAATAGTTTCATATTTTTTAAAGCTTTAAATAAAAAACAAGGTAATGTTTGTATAATTTACCCCTAAATGTTTGACGGGGAGTTCTAGGCCGGCCCGTAACACGTGTGTGTGCATAGCGGCTGTGTTTGTGGGTCTAAGTGTTCCAACAGGCCTGTGTGTGATTGTTGGCAGTAATATTCTCCTGGCTGTTTGAAGTTTATCTCTGCCTCGGAGCAGGACTCTCTGTCACTTCCAGGAACACGATTTGGAAGGGGAGACAGAGGAGTAGCATTCTTAAGCTCACCCTGACATGACTGAGTGCGTGCAGAAAAATCTGCTGAACACATTACAGCACAGCTGATTCACAGAGGCGGGAAGAAGCCAAAAAGTTGTGCGTCATACATAGTTATATCTACAGAAAGTATGGCTTGTTATTTTGTAGGATTTGTCAATAATTTAAAGGGAAAGTGAAGAATTTAAACAGAGCGTTCGCCTTGTTTGGAGGGCAGTTCTGCCGGGTGGATGATGTCACCGTTCAGACGTCTTTGTCACGTCGGAGGCAGAAGCTTTCATCCTCGATGGGCAACTAGATGCTCAGAAAAGAGAGATTGAGAGTCTCCACTCTGGGGTCAAAAGGTCGACACTTCAAACCCCACATAAGCTTCTCCACTGACGCATGGCGTCTGTCAGGACCGGTCATAATAAAGACGTTGTAATTGCGAAGGGATGACATGCAAGATTACCGATCTGCCGCAGTGAGGTGAAATCTTTGAAGGTGACAGAAAGAAGGACGTTAGTGCAGACGTGCTTTGCAAACTGTTGCGCTGACAAATCAATCATTTTGCTTTTACTCGTTTTATTTAGATTTTTTTTTTTAAAGAACGGATTAAAATTTACAATTAAATTTTTTTCTACCCTTCCCAGAACAAGATGGACAGCAGTGCAGATAAGACCATATCAAATTTAACGAACTACATTTTTGAAGGATTGCTAGCAAATAAAAGCCGTGTTTGTTTCTTAATAACCGTATAAACAAAATACATGTATGTTGTTAAAGTTAGATCCCCCAAACCCTGGTAATACGTTTGGCCCTGACTGTTTGTAGCTGACAGGTGTGTTGTTCAGTGTTGCCAACATCGGCTTTCATGAGCTGCTTCATTCTAGGAATATGTCGTTTATTGCCGTAATGTCAAAGGTGAGCTGGCATCTCCAGTCTTTGTGTTTTAATTGGCCTTTGTTTGTTTCTCTGTTTCTTTAGAGAAATTTTATGGGCTAGAAATTAGTTTTTATTACAATTGGCAGCCTGACAGACGAGGAAACACTTTTGGTCACATCCCACTAAAACAGTTTCTTAGTTATATCTTTCTTAGTTATAAAAGTTCAGATTCAGTTTCACCTGCAATTCTACGTAGTTTGTTTGGTTTGATAAAAACTGATCTGAAGCCACTGCTGCGTGCTATTTTTCTGGCATTCATCTGGACCACTTTCAACCACTTTTCTTGGCAAAATTGGTCTAGTTAATTTATATTCCCAATTCGAAAACTCCAATTATCTCCTAGCTCAAACGATCTCTAAGCTATGACCTGAAATTATCCAGACATATATGAGTCATATATGCGGGAGTGGTGGTCTAGTGGTTAAGGGCATTGCGCTTGGATCCCAGAAGTTCCGAGTTCAAGCCCCACTCCCACAGACTGCTACTCTGGGTCCCTGAGCAAGACCCTTAACCCCCACATTGCTTCCCCGGCGCCTCACAATAGCAGCTCACTGCTCCCCAAAGGGGTGGGTTAAATGCAGAGACTGAAATTCGTTGCTGTGTACTCGTGACAACGTAATGACATTAAAGTTGAATTCTATTCTAATTGCAGGGGTCTCAAACCGGGTCCAGAAAGGGCCATGTAGCTACAGGTTTTCTTTCCAACCAAGCAATACCACACCAGACTCCGTTCATGAATTAAGGCTTCTAATATTTTGCCTTGTTAGCAGTGTATTTTTAAATGGAAAACTAATGTAAAACCTCATTTTATCAGGTGTTTTGTGGTCTTTAAGGCAATATCTACTCATAAAACACAGACATACGTAGTAACTAGTTACATTTACCGCTTTACATTTACTTATGTAAGTTTTAGACAAAAATGTACTTTTAGGAGTAGTTAAACTGCACCCTACTTTTTATTTTTACCAAAGTAATAGTATCATGATGTATCTCTACTCTGTCCTCTGCACCAGAGACAGTTTTGCTAAAATCAGTACCCTTTTTTGTACACAATCTTTGTTGTTTTAGTGTTAAGATCTTACATGCTTTATTTACTATGAAATGGTATTAGATGTTTGCTTAAAAAAAAATCCTGATTTTATTTTTTATTCTTCCAGTCTTATTTTATGTTAGACTTTAAAAACAAAAGGTGAACACAACTTTTCATTACAGTCAGTCTGATTACATACTGCATTTTAGAATAATAGTTATTTAGTACTGGAGTACAGGAATGTTATTCATACTAAAGTAATTTCTTGTATCGATATTTTTTACTTTTACGCCAATAGAGATATGTTGAAGGAGTCCTATTGTTACTTTAGTACATTTTTTGCTAAAAAAAAAGACTTTTTGTCTTTTTTGGGATTACTTTTTTCTTTTCAATTGGCCACAAACTGCTTAATTATTTCCTGCACCATGCAAAAAAAATAAACTGTTCAATATTTGCCTATAAAAGTTTGGTAATTGTTTGTATCCTAAAACAAAAAGTTGTAGAACTTGCTCAGCTGTCCATTTCTAAGTCTCTACTTGGCACTACTAGAAGTTGTTTTTTTTTTATTATTATTATGGGATGTTTTCCCTCCCTGGCTTCATGTGAAAAAGGAACAGTGGCCCAGAGGCCAAAGAGACATGCTTAGATTTCGGGTACAGAGCCCAACAACCCAGTCACACCTCCATCCCCAGAATCCACCCCATATCCAGATGAATGCAGACCTTAATATCGTCATGACACGCTGTCGTCTCCCTGTTTCAGTGTTCAGCTCAGTGCGGCCTGGGCCAGCAGATGAGGACGGTCACCTGTCTGTCCTATACTGGACAGCCATCAAATGAGTGTCCAGAATCCCTCCGGCCTGCCACCATGCAGCAGTGTGAGAGCAAATGTGACGCCATCCCAAACTCCAACAGCGATGGTAAGACCCCCATTAAAAACAAGGCAGCAACAGAATCCAAACATGTCACCAAACATACTGGTTCTGCATTGATGTTTTCTTTAACCTTAAAGGTTATACACCATCTCTGTCTTCAACTTCACAGCTCTGCTGTGACCTAAACACTCGGGGATGACACACACCTCTGCACTTTGCCAGCTACATTAATCTTTCCAGTAATGTGGACTCCTAGTCAAAGCGAGGCGGCTCGAGCCTCCATATACGCTTACACATGATGGATGGCTGTTCAGATGCATACAGAGGGGCCTTTCGATTAGCCCGAATGGAAAACGTGAGCAGCGTTTACAGGCTGGCTAATGGGATTAGCTGTAGGCTAATTGTTCCTTTACGGAGAGCAGTGAGGCAATGTCTAGTTTCATTTGGCTCTGAAGAGGAAGGGGCCAAAGCCTAATAAGGGAAGACACTCTGATCATGATAAGGCATATAGAGCGCTGCCTGTCCGGCATCCAGAAAGAAGTTTGCACATGTGTGTGTGATGGGGGAGGTGGAGCATGACGTTTGTAACCTAGGAATGGCAAACTGCCCAGTTAGTGAGTGAGGCCAGCATCTTTCTCAGTCTTAGTCTCCGTATCCAAGTGTGGCTGCAGAGTTTTACTCTACTGATGCTCAGGGGGGATAATCTGCCCCCCTTCAGCAGGTTAGCCCTACTGTATTTTTCGTACTTGCTAAGTTCACTAAATCACAATCAATAAACAAAACTAAGCTTGAGAATGACGGGAAAATATGATGCTTGAATCTAAGAAATTTACACAGAAGTTAGCCTGATAAACCAGATTAAATGTGAGATTAAATGTGTAATTTAGTCTGGCCCCGATGAATGAGACATCGGAAGATTGGTGATGAGAACAACCAGTTGTTTTTCAAACCATGTCTGTGCCTATCGGCCAACGCTCTGACCAATGAGAGCAACTGACTGTGACGTAGAAAGCTAGTTGGGGAGTGTAAACAAAAAGCCTGTCGGTTAAAACGGCGAATACTTCCTTCTTAAAAATGAATGAGCGTAGAGCCTCTTTGTGCTCACGTTTCATTGAAAACCCCAAGTCTAATCCATCCAAAAACTGATTCCAAAGCTGAGTCAAAAATCTCCATTATAGCCAGCAGTCCTTCACACACGACTATGCCGAGAGAGAGTCGCTGCAGACGGGCTGTGGTTAGCCCGGGCTGCCGTGACTTTGGAAATTGTTTTTTTAATTATGCATTAAATCGGTAAATGGACCATATAGTGACGCTTTAAAATATAATATTCTCGCGTCAAATGATCTTAAAACGTACCTTTATTGAATAACAGCAACAGAAAAGGGAACTTTTAGCTTTCAATGGAACGCTCCATTGAAACCTGCTGCTGCCGCAGTGCGTGCTGCTGTTCAATAGTTGTTCCCATCTTCCTTGTTGTGTTTTCTCCAGCGTCGTGCAGCTTTGTCGCCACGCCCTCAAAACCCGCCCGCTTTGCATCCAAAAATTCAAAACACATCTCTGCGTTGTGATTGGCCCGCCAGTTCTAGGGCCTGGGGCATGGATCGAGGCTAGACAACTCTCAGACAAAATTATTTTGGCTGCTGGCGGATGGGGCTAGTTTATTAGGCTACCTAAAGGTAAATTCTCAGCTCTACTACAGAGCTATAAGGAAGCGGCAATGATTGAACTCAAGCTCACTTGGCATCTACCTATTATTGCTATTAGTGTATAATCCTTTAGACTGATTTTTGCATCATAAAGATGAGTTAATATATATGCATTTTGGACCCGCCAAAAACTAGAAAACAATTATAATGTTAGTTGGTTTATTTTTCAGTTAAATAAACACTTTTATTCACTCTAGGGATTCTGTGGATTCAAAGATTTTTGAAAAGTTATTGTGAAAAAAATTGAAGCTATGACCTTTAAATAACCCACTAGATAATGAATATTAGATTCTTCTCATTATCTTAACTGATTCTAACACAGATACATGCTGGTCAACTATTTAAAAGGCAGACATGCAAATGAAAGCTTTTCTCTCAGAGTAACCAAACATTGTTTCTTCTTTCCTCAGAATGCAAAGATGTAAACAAGGTGGCGTACTGCCCTCTGGTCCTCAAGTTCAAGTTCTGCAGCAGAGGATACTTCAGACAGATGTGTTGCAAGACCTGCCAGGGGCACTGACCAAGGAATGGTGCTTATAAAGAACAGGAGATGGATACAAGGGCAAAGAAGATGGAGGGATAAAGCACTTAAATGGTGTACAAAAAATAAAATGAGGCAGGCTGAAACAAAAAAAAAAACTCCTCGCTCAATTCTTAAAGGTAAAAAGAAGAAAAAGAGCCCAGAGCTGCTGCCCAGACCTTAAAACAGTCGGAGCCCTTCATCCTGCCCTCCTTTCTGGTGGAAACCTAACCACTGCTCAGCCCGTAACGCTGAAACAAACTTTTTCCATTTTTATTTTTTTTTATTTTTGAATTTTTCGCTTCTGTGAAGTGGAATTAGGAAGATTAATTCTTGATGATATTATTTTTATTATAATAATAATTGATGATATCATTATCAGTCTTCCTGCATGTTTTTTGTGTTGTAAATGTCAAGGGCTGGATGCTTCACTCACGTGGTGTACCCAGGAGAGGAGCAGATTAAGAGGGAGGCGGGAGTCCAGCATGTCGGACTCCCACCTTTGGAAAGGTGCATGGTGACATCTGGCTTCAGTGCACTTTTTCATGTAAATACTCCAATTTACAGTTCAGACATAGAACAGAACCCTCCCCTCCTCAGTGTACTGTATATTTATTGTACAACTCCAAACAGAGCATCCACTGATGTTTCTGTCAAACAGTAGCCTACTGTCATGGAAGGGAATGTAATATGATTGAGGTATAAACAATAACGTTGTCTGCTGGAATGAAATTATACCGTAACCTATGTTAGACCCTTGTATACTGTAAGGATTTGTGTATTATAAATTATATTAATCTAAAACCAGAAAATACCACGTGGTTATAGAAGAATTTATCATTTCTATACCCAGTTTGGTGCCTTAGCTCCACCCAGTCAGGCAGAATTTCCCATTAATCCCAGATATTCTGCCTGGTTTTCTTTGGGCCACATGAAATTTTGCCAGCGAGAAGAGTTTATTTAATTTCTATTCAAGCAGCTTATAACTCACATGTGAAATATTCCTTTTAAGGCAGCATTAGAGGCAGCCTGTTCATTTGAGCTAAAATTAAAACAGGTTTCTTTTTGGCTGTTTTAGAAAAGCATTAACATGAGATATGAAGCCAGATAACGTTTTGATTTGACTGAAATCTAAGCTTTGTCACATCTTACAGTAATGGACGTCGACATTTATAGATCTAATTAAACATTGAGGCATGCCAGATATTATTAATGCTTCTATGCATGTAGCATCATCCAGCGTTGTGGATCCGGGGATGACCCAAGGTTTACAGATTAACAGTATTCTGATCTGGAAAGTTCATGTCAAGTTCTGTTTAAAAAAAAAAACATTCGTTCCTCTTTTTCTGGATAAATTATTGTTCTTTTAGGCGCATATCTGTTCCAACACACCTGGTTAAATTTGCTTTAGCAGCCACTAGGTGCTGGAAAGGCTTGGTTTTAAAGCAGGTCTAAAAGATGTAGTCCCTGATCACCAGGGTTATTGGATCTGAGGAGATCCCTGTTCCAGAGCCTTACGTGGACTTTTTATTTGGAGTTTTTTTCTCAAACCATTTTTTTGGCACAACAATGACGTTCATAATATCTAAAATTGAGTCCCAGTTCCATCGTCAGCATCCTGTCAAATCTTAAAGGCATACTATGCAACATTTTTGAATGTGTTCCATAACGTTTTGGATGATTAAATGAGTCATTTCAGGTTGAACAAAGGTTTTCTCGGCCGCCCTGGTGGTCTGTACGGGAAATACCGTACTTGCAATTGCAGGAGCCCTCGGCCCGCACCCACAGGCTCACAAGTCTCGGGCATCGGGAGAGTCGGTCTTGCTTTACGGCGAGAACTTGGCTAACTACAATCTTTGTTATTTAGACACATGCATAACAAGTAATGTATGAAAACATGCTAAATTTTCAAACTCGAAAATTGGAACAAAATAGTCACTTCCCGCAGTAGACATGTTGATTCGTTGCGTCTGCCTGTCTGCTAAGCTCAAAACAACCGCGCCTGGCTTGACGGAGAAACCTGGAGAACAGCTGAGCATATTTACGACAGTGCACTTTTACTTTCGCCCTCTGGGGGGAGCCTCGCTGGAAAATCAACACCGGTTGCATAGTATACCTTTAACGAGGATATGCTGCTTACTTTTTGTGTCCAGTTTAGTTGATTAAACTTTTTTACTGGATAAATCTAATCGATGGACAAATTATTACTTTTAAAACAGAACTGTTCTAACAGTATATAAAGTTATGAAAGTTGAATACCGAACAACAGAATGTCGACATAGAGTATCATAATGTTCAAGATGTTTTGTGAGCTGTTCTGAGGGTTAGATTTTATTTTCTCTACTTAATCTCTATAAAACGAACTCATACAGCATTTATACCCATTTACTACTATAAGGTATTTGTTTAAAGTCAATAACTCTGGTGAAATGTTCAGTGTAAATTCTGATTAGCATGAACCAGAGGCTAAAGCTAATGCTAATGCCAACTGAACACAAATTTCTACGGAACTTCAAACAGAAAATGCCAACAAACTTTAGGAAAACATTATAACTAACGATGGGAAGGTGATAATTATTCACACAGGACACAAAGCAGTAAGTTTCCTAAGTGAAACACAGCTACAATAGCTAAAAGATCAAGTATTATTGAGCTTTAGGTGAAATTTTTTTCATTTATTTTCACAGGTTTTAGATAATCAGAAACTTTTTTGGGTTAGCCCTTCTTGGACTGTTTGTTAACTACAGTCTCCTTAACAGAACCTTTAAACTTTCTGTATTATCTCTTGAAGTGATTCCCACCGTTCATCGTAGTGCCTTTTTGTTTTGCATGAATTCTTTACATATCCATTATTTTCTCCCTCTATGCTCCAAGACTTAGGGCCTAACTAGGCTTTTGGTGCTATCAACAAGGTGCTTCCTTTCAAACCTTCTCCAGTGTGTTTAGAAATAAAGTATGAGCCAAATATTTCAAGTTGATATACTTGTTGATATCTCTGCTGGTAAATGCTGGTCATATATATTTTTTTCTATTTTCTTTTTATTTGTTTATGCCTCACACTGGGAACGTTTGCTGTTAAAAAAAAAAGAAAGGTAATGCTGTCTTTTCAAGTACTAAAATGGAGCCTCTTCCAAATGTAACCAACCTTTTCTATCCAAGTGACATTTCTGCCGGTGGTGTGAAAGGAAACACGCCTGATGCGTTACAGTGAGGTACAGGAAAACGAATCTGAGCGCCAACACAGGAGTGCATTAACGTGTCTCTTCGGCTGTTAACAACTGTGTTCTGATTTTGCTGCTGCTACATTTTTTGTAGCCTCTTTCCATGTGACGATGACGAACAGACTTTTATTAGGTACAGAAGATTCAGCAAGGATGCTGAGAAGCATTTTAAACTGCTCGGGCCGACCCAGCCTTCAGAGAAAGAGGATTTGAACTCAATCGAGCTGGTGCTCATTTGCTGTGAACTCGGATGTTTGAATGTCACTTTGCTCGTATCTGTACCTAAATTGCTAGAAAAATGATAAGCATCATGTGATTAATTGCATTTATTTTATATTCAGTATTAATGTTGGTCGGCTGTTACTGTTTTCCTTTTCAAATGTTAATAATGTCCTAATTTATTGCTGTGTCTCACGTGTACATTCATTTCACTGCATGTAAACTGAATTCAAGCATAGTGAAAGTGCAGTGGTGCAGCTCTTCACCAATTTTTAAAGGTAGATACAATAAAAAGACCTTTTACAGAGACCATTTGTATGTGTTTTTCTATAAAAAGCACAACAACCGTCACCTGAAATCGGTCGTCTTCATAATAACCAGCCAGTTGAGCCTGATTAAGTCTAGGTCACATAGATAATTTTAGAAATAGTATTTAATTAGTCTGTGTAGGATTGGATATAGGCCTGACCTGCGGCAGTCACATTGTAATGGCCATCTCTACAGTCACTAGTTTGTCAGCTCTGCGCTTCCATACTGCAAAGATGTCTGCCTCCACAGATGAAAATCAACTCCTATTGATACTTCTAAGGCAACCCATACATAAAAAATTGAGACTTTCAGTTTATAGATGATAATAAATAACAAAATAACCTTTAAAGTCTGTTATCTGCAATGTCGGGAGTACTAAAAATGTATAGAATAAATGATTACATAAACATTGGTGGCCCCTTTAAAGGGACTAACCTAATTCAACAGACTTCCAGCCATCCTTTGATGGAAAAGTGATTGCAGCATAAAAACAGTTGCTCCCTCTGGAACATCAGTGTTTCTGCGACGACTGAAATGGGAAGACAAAACAGCGCTCCAAGCATGATCACTGAGAATAAAAGAACATTGCTCCCAAAAATGTTCCTATATAATGGATCTGTCATGGCTTATAGTTTAATCCACCCTTTAGATAAGGAAGAAGTGTGGCACTAACACACAATGGGCAAGACAAAGATGGGTGAGGAAGGCCAGCAAAGTACTTAAAGTCACTCTTAATTTAAAAGTAACGATGCCTGGTTTATTTTTACTGGATTTTCTCAAGTTTGCCTAAAATTTACCCAAAGACATTTTATAGACTTGAAGCCCTTTGATCGACAGAACTCTGCTCTGCTTGGCAAACCTTGAGGAAACCTTCAGGAATTCATCTTCTCCTCCATGAAGCAAGGTGGTGGCTGCAGCATGTTTTGGGGACACTTCTGAAAAGCATGCTCTCGGAGGCTGGCAAAGGCAGAGAGGAACACGAATGCAGAAAAATAATCCAAAGTTCTGGAGAAAGATTATATTTTGGCTGAGAGTTCATTGTAGCGGAGCTCTGTCTTCCATTAAGATAATGAGTGCAAGTATGCGGCGACAGCTACACAGAAATGGGTCTAAGATAACAAGGGGAATGGTCTGAAGTCGGCAAATCAAATCCCGTATGTATATCCTTTCACTAGTTTGTTGCTGGATTTAAAAAAAAGAGAGATGTTAGTGATGAATCCCATAGTTTTCTGTCCGGCTCAGAACAATCAGGACCCAGTATTCATGGCAGACAGACATTTAGATTTATTAAAACGTTAATTAAAGACAGAACTGCAGTGAACAGTGTCCCCGTCTAAGGCAGGAACCTCTGTAGGAGGAGAACACAGGTTAGTGACCACGTCTATCTGGTGGAGGATGATAATAATGGTCACGTTCGGCCAATCAGAAACACAGGTACGCTAGGGAACTCTAACCACAGGCTCAAATAATCTGGCACTGATGACTGGTCAGAAGGCTGGTTAAATAAAGGCTGAAGCAGGTTGATCAGATGAGCGGTAATGAGAACTGGGCAGAGGTGTTTGGAATGAGAAATCATACCAGACATCAGTGCCAAGATCATGACATTTCTACAAAAAAACAGAGAAAAGCTGCCTAGATATTTCAACCTGTTTGAGAAATTTCCACACAAACTTAGAGCTGGGTTGCAAACAAAGATACATCCTAATACATTGTACCTAAAGGGGATAAGTATATATACTTACTTTTTTTTTAGTTGCATCATTTACATTTTTTTTGTTGTTGTTGTTTTTAAATTGCGGTATATAAAAACAGCTCATATTAACCATAACCTGATTAATTAAAGAGTCTTGGGGGGCATACATACTTATATTTATTAGCATTGCATCACTAGGCACTCTCAGACGCTGCACAGCAGATAGGAACAGCTGGCATCTCTTTAAGAGAAATAAACTGCTCATTCATTCAGCACTTGGAAAGCACCCACCGCTAGAGAGTAACTGCTGGCATCAAGTCAGGATACAAGTTATCAAAGCTAAAGTGATCCTCTAACACACTGACTCAAGTTGCCATGTCCAACCTGCGTCATCTTCTGAGACTCAACAGAACAAACGTGGAGTACCTAGAGGTGCGTCAGACGTCTCCCTGTGCTTTCTTAGCTAAGCTGTGTGGCCAAATTATCCCTTTGCTACTCTCCTTCCTCTCGTTCTGAGTGGGCTTCCTTTTAACAAGCTGTAGGTTTTCCTCTCTCCTTGGTAATTAAGTCCAAATAAACAGAAACTAAGCCCACTCGGCTGGAAAATGCCGCCGTCTCCGTCTAATCCTTAGTGTCCGATTACAGAAAGAGACTGATGGCCTGTTTGGCTTAGTGCAACCACATGGGCTATATGTCAGGGCCGGCTTATGCAGAGTCCTGGGATTACAGTAGTTCTACCCTGCAGAGCTCAGGGAAACTGGAAAAAAAGACAGAGATGGGGAATCCTCTGCTGGTTACAAATCTAGTTTCAGTAAAAACATATTGATTTAAACTTTTAGGAGTTGGGTTAAGGTTTGAATTTAAAATGAATTGTCTATTGCCTACATAGAGTCAAAATAATTTTGTTTCAGTAGGTACTTTGGTAGGTAGTTCAGAAGCTTGGTTGGACAGGTAGGTAGTTCTGTAGGTGGATATAGCTCATTCAGTAGTCAAGTAGGTAGGTAGGTAGAAAGGTAGGTAGTTTAGGTTTAGTTTAGGGTTATTTGGTACATAGGAGGTTGGTTGGTTTGCTGGCTAGTAGGTTGGTTGGTTCATAGGTCAGTTGGTTGGTGGGGTGGTAGGTTGGTTGGCTGGTAGGTTGCTAGGTTGGTTGTTTGTTTGTTTTGTTGTTTGGTTGGTTGGTTGGTTGGTTGTTTGGTCGGTCAGTCGGTTGGTTGGTTGGTTGGCTGGTAGGTTGGTTGGTTTGTAGGTTGGTTGGTTGGTTGGCTGGTAGGTTGGTTGGTTTGTAGGTTGGTTGGTTGGTTGGCTGG